ATAGGGGACTTCAATACCCCATTGTCTCCATTAGATAGGTCAACAGGGCAGAGAGTTAACAGAGAGACATCTGAATTAAACAACACCATATATGAAATGGACTTAAGAGACATCTACAGAGTATTCCACCCAAGCACCAAAGGACATACTTTCTACTCAGCGCTCCATGGAACCTTCTCCAAAGTTGACCATACACTGGGGCACAAAACAAACCTCAAAAAATACAAAAAGATTGAATAATTCCATGCTTTCTATCAGACCACAATGCAATAAAGCTTACAATCAACAAGGTAAGAAGCCCTAGTCACCACACGAACACATGGAGATTAAACAACACACTTCTGAATGATGAATGTGTCAAAAAAGAAATTAAGATAGAAATAAAAGTATTCCTGGAACTAAATGAAAAGGACAAATAAGCACAACAAAACCTCTGGGACACGCTGAAAGCTGTCCTTGGAAAGGAGGTTTATACCTCTAAGTGCCTACATCAAAAATCGGAAAGATCACAAATAAATGACTTAACACTGCAACTCAAGACACTTGAAAAGCAACAACAAATGAAACCCAAACCCAGCAGGCAAGAAGAAATAACAAAAATCAGGGCACAAATTAATGAAATCGAAACAAAGCAAACAATACAAAGAATCAACAAATCTAAGAGCTGGTTCTTTGAAAAGATTAACAAGATTGACAGACCATTAGCCCAGTTAACCAAAAGAAAGAAAGAGCACCTCCAAATCAACAAAATCAGAGTAGAAAGGGGAAACATCACAACAGACACCAGAAAGATACAGAACACTGTAAGAGAATATTTTAAAAACCTTATGTTACTAAATTTGAAAACCTAAAAGAAATGGATGGATGTCTAAAGGCATGGGAACCACCAAAGCTAAACCAAGAAGAAATTAACAGCTTAAACAGACCCATAACACAAAAGAAATTGAAACAGTAATACAAAACCTAACTAAAAAAATCCCAGGACCAGATGGCTTTACAGCAGAATTCTATCCGACATTTAAAGAAAGTCTACATCCAATACTACTTAATTTATTCAAAAAGATAGAAATGGAGGGAGAACG